CAGGTTTGTGACTGGATGTTCCTGATAGTTTAGCTGGTTTAATTAAGTACCATATGTATGGGCTATATTTTTTTGGCAGAACTTGACTGAGATTGACTACAGCCACAGAATTCTGTGGTCAACATTGTTTGCTCTACACCTGCATCAATAGCAACAACAGTAATCTGCCTCCTCCAGTTGATCCAGAGTTCTTTGAGTTTACAGGATTTACCTTTTGTCTCATTTTCCAACCTCACCACCGTCTTCACTGTTTTTAACACTGCAGGGCATGTATTTACTTTTAAAAATTAAAAACAAATTAATTTTAATTTTGTTTTGAGAGGCTTTTTTTTTTTTCCTTTAGAATTTTACAACATCCTTTGAAATATTTAGGGATACCCTAAGGTGTTGCAAAAAGAAGATTAGAATCCACTGTCATTGACACAAGATTCTATTTTGCCAATGTGCAATCTTTTTTCTAAGCCATACTAGTGTTTTTTTCCCACAATGTTCACATTTGTTTTTTATTTTCTTTCACTCGTGTTGGCATATGCTTTGTTTCTCACATAACATGCAATAAAATGTTCTTCCAATACTCTTATTTCTCTATACTTCTGAACATGCCTAGGTGGCATAGGTGCTATTTTACTTATTAATGTTGTACTAATGAAGCTTGTGTCGTGTTGTATTATTTTCTGTTATCTCTACCTTAAGTCGCTCATTCAAGGTCTTTATATTAACTGTTGAAAGATAACTGTCATTACGTGATTACTGTTCCAAACCATTAAACCAGACTTTTTCAGAGTGAAAAAAAACATATTATCAAAGATTAAAAGTTTGATAAACTTATTATTAAAGATTAAGGTATATCCTAAAATATTGGGGAAACAGTCTAAAAGCATAAAAAAATCATTGAATACTCATTCAAACACTCATTAGAAGGAAGATTTGACAAAATTATTTAGTCTGAAAGGGCAAAAGTTGCTTAACCTTTTTGCTGACCACTGAAAGTGTCAATGGGGTGTAGAAAAGGCAAACCAGAGATAGAGGAACCCATACTGAGTAGGCAGTGTGAGCTAGGGGGTAGAGCCAGGGCCTAGTATGCATTGCAGAATGTGAAAACATTACACTGGCCAAAGCCAGATGAGATATGTTGAGAAGTAATAAGAGAAGAAGCAATGAATGGTAAGATAATGAAAGGATTTGAGTTCCCGACTCTAAATAAAGAACTGGGATGATGGTCTTAAAATATTAAGTTTGTAATGCTGTATTGAACTGAGATTTGTCCATGTATATTTCTCTTTCTCAGAACATTTTTAAGTTTATCTCTACAAAGTAGTATGAATTGAAATTTTAGAGAAAGTAGGGCAGCTAAATGCAAATTTATTTGAAAAATTACATGGTGTTGATGTATTTGTGGACCTAAATTGTTAGCAAAAGGGAAAAAGCCTGGAGTTATGAAAAGCCCCATGCAGAAGAAGCGTGATCACTTCCGCTTTGATTGGTTAGGATTTCTCTCTATGACCTTTTTTTTTTCTCATTTGGTGTCACCATCTTTTCCACTTTCCCCGGGAAGGAATAATGTACTATGTCAGGTCAGAGTCCATGAGCAAAGATCTAATGTGATGCTGCTGCTGTGACTCTTGGCTTTTAGTCAAATATGAGTGTAGTCTAAGTGCACTAAGATTCCTTAATCTCTTTTTCATGAGATGTTGGAAAGAGGCTGGCTGTGTATTGGTTTATTGTGAGACCTGATAACCTTCCAAGGTATCAGAATATGTGCTTGATTTACATTTGTTTCATTCTATTGAGCAGGATGGAGTACCTCCAGGGCTAATCAAGGCACATTTCTAAATGGGGAAATTGGCTTGGACAAAAATCTGTGTTTTATCTGAAGTATAAATCACCTTATCAAAATCCAGTGAAGTTAGGATAAAGAATCAGCAGTTAGCTCCAACTTGAGCTCAGTGGCTTGGCCACTTCTTACTCTATTGGGTAATGACAGAGGTCTCAATGAAAATGAGAACAGGGGAGTTAAGCCTAGTGAGAACCTGAGATCCAGTTTTGACCCTACCTTTAACATGTGGGGTGACTTAACGTGCTGGGTGTGTCCATTTCCTCATTTGGAGGAATTGGACTAGATGAGCTGTAAGGTCTTTTCCTCAGACTTTAGATAAGTCACCTAATATCCCTGGGTTTTAACTTAGCCATAGGTATATAAATACCAATCTGAGAATAAAGAAGTTCTTAAAAATTTCATCAAGTTTTTTGGAAGTTCAAAGTACTATGCACATACAATGCAAAGTATAATCCTGGCTTCTAGTGTATGAGTGATTCCCATAACCTGGTATCCAAGAAAGGGCTGCTTTCTTTTTCCAAAGGCCTAAGAGAATCCTTTTACATAGCTATATGGAGGCTGTCCAGGATGATTTTGGCTGAAGTAGAATAAATTCAGTGTGATGACCTTGGGGATCCATGTCATACAGATGTGATGATTGGTATTTATACAATATGTCTTTGATTAATGGGAAATGGAATGGGAATTATTAGGCTGGTAAAAGCAGCCTTCCCAATAGGCAAAATATTTTTTTAAATATTCAATCTTTGGGGAATAAAGAAAGAAAATAATTCAGGTTCACAATCCCTTATCTAAAATCCTTGGGGACAGACATGTTTTGGAATTCAGAAATTTGGGGGGCTTTAGAAAAGTACTAGTATGCCTAAACATATATTACATAACCTCTTCAGTGGGGTCTTGGTCAGCACCACTTAACTAAACACATTTCTGGGCCGGCCCGGTGGCGCACTGCTACAGTGCGCCGCTTGGGAGTGCGGCGGCACTCC